AGGCTGGCACAGGCCGACACCTGGCTACGTTCACTCGTCAGCCGGGGTCGAGCCTGTACACTCTGACCACTGCGTCTCCTCCAGTTGCTGAGTCTGGTAGGGTAGCTACGTCGGGTCAGGTGTTTGCTGCGGCGTCCAGGTCTGGTCCTGAGTCTGCCCCCTGTTTGTGTCGTCTCCTGTCTCACGAGACTCTCCTCTGGCACCACCGCCTTGGCCACCCCTCTCTGCTTCGGCTCAGAGGTATGGCCTCCCGTCTTCTTGTGTCCGGTCTCCCCCGGTCCCTCCCTCCCCTTCCTCAGGGCCCTGGCCCTGCCTGTGTCCCCTGTGTCGAGGGGCGCCAGCGTGCTGCCCCTCACTCCTCCCAGTTTCCTCCGACAGAGGCCCCATTGCAGACACTTCACATGGACGTGTGGGGCCCAGCCCGCGTCCGTGGACAGGGTCACGAGCGCTACTTCCTGCTCGTTGTTGACGACTACTCGCGTTACACCACAGTCTTCCCCTTGCGCAGAAAGGGTGATGTCACTGAGGTGCTGATCGACTGGATCCGCGCAGCTCGTCTCCAGCTCAGGCAGAGCTTCGGCTCGGACTTTCCTGTTCTGCGTCTGCACTCGGACAGAGGCGGAGAGTTCTCCTCTGGCCTTCTGCGTGCCTACTGTCGTGCACGGGGCATCCGTCAGACCTTCACGCTTCCGGACTCACCGCAGCAAAATGGGATTGCTGAGCGCCGCATTGGCATGGTCATGGACGTCGCTCGTACGTCTATGATGCATGCGGCTGCCCCCCATTTTCTGTGGCCGTTTGCGGTGAGGTACGCGGCGCATCAGATCAACCTCCACCCCAGGGTCTCCAGGCCGGAGACCTCCCCAGCCTTGCTGTGGACGGGAAAGGTTGGCGATGCGTCGGCGTTCCGGGTCTGGGGATCTCGGGCGTTTGTCCGCGACCTGTCTGCGGACAAACTATCCCCTCGTGCTGCTCCTTGCGTCTTCCTGGGGTTCCCCCCTGACGCGCCTGGGTGGCAGTTTTACCACCCCACCTCTCGCCGTGTTCTGTCCTCCCAGGACGTCACGTTTGACGAGTCGGTCCCCTACTACCGCCTCATCCCCTACCGCACTCCGTCCCTCCCCCCACCCCCACTCTTCCTGGTACCAGGTCCCCCCCAGGTAGACCCCCTCCCCCCTCAGGGTCCTGCCCCTTCAGGTGTGTCCCAGGTAGACGCAGTCGAGCCTGTCGAGGTCACTGGTGACTCTGGTGCTGCTGAGGGTGCTGAGGCTGGGGGTGCTGTACCTGGGGGTGCGGAGCCTAGGGGTGCTGGGCCTGGGGGTGCTACGTCTGGGGGTGCTGAGCCTAGGGGTGCTGAGCCTAGGAGTGCTGAGCCTGGGGGTGCTGAGCCTGGGGGTGCTGAGCCTGGGGGTGCTGAGCCTAGGGGTGCTGAGCCTGGGGGTGCTGAGCCTAGGGGTGCTACGTCTGGGGGTGCTGAGCCTAGGGGTGCTACGCCTGGGGGTGCTGAGCCTGGAGGTGCTCCGCCTGGAGGTTCTCCGAGTGCTTCGTCTCGCCGGGAGCCACTTTCTCCACAGGAGCTGCGTGAGTGGTTTGCCCGGCGCTGGAGGCGTGCTGCTGGTGCTGGAGGTCCTTCGGCTGCTGAGGGTGCTGCGGTCGCGGGTCCCGGAGGTGCTCGTCCTGGGTGCACTGGAGCTGGTGCTGCTGAGGGTGTTGGCGCTGAGACTACCGCTGGCAGTCCTGCTGGGGGTGCTCCTGGTGCTGCTGGAGGTTCTGGAGCTACTGGTGGTGCTGCTGGAGCGGGTGCTCCTGCTGAGGGTTCTGGTGCTGTCCCTGCTGCTTCTAGCGTCGCCGCGCGGCCTCGACCGTACTTCGTTCCACTCCTGCAGCAGGTTCTTGGTCTTCCACCTTCTACTGGTCCTCCTCCTCCCTTAGAGTGTCCACAGCCTGTCTCGTCCCAGCTACAGTTGCAGCCTACCTCCCCTTTGCCTGCTCCTTCTCCCTACACTGGTCCTACTGGAGGTCTGGCTGAGCGCCGTGAGCCTGCGTCTCGCCCTGCGTCGCCTGTCCGTGCTGCTCGCACTAGTGGTCGCGGTTCGCGTCAGCGTCCTCCTCCTGTCCCTGGCACGCACCGGATGTCTCTGCGTCCGTCCACTGCTCCTCTGCGTGCCCCTTTGCCTTCTCCTCCTGAGTCCTCTCTTCCTGCTCTTCCTGACCCGGAGTCGGACTCCCTTCGTGCTGCCAGTCCTACTGTCACGCGTCTCCTTGCTACTGTTGTCACTGACCCTTCTTTCGAGTCTACTGCTGCGTCTGCTCTCGTTACTGAGCTCGTCGACTTTGCTGCTCGCTGTCGCTTAGACTACGCTGCTAGTCTTGTCGCTGAGTCTGAGTCTGTCTGTCCTCCGTCCGTCGGGGGTGAGTGTGCCCTTGGTACGGACGTCCTTGAGGACAGGCAGGAGGAGTTCCAGTGTCTGGCAGCTGCCTCACCTCATCTCGTGTCCGTACTGCTTACCCCTGAGGGAGACCCGGATGCACTTGACATCCCGACTCCGCACTCTTACGCGGAGGCGATAGAGGGTCCCTACTCCTCTCAGTGGCAGGCAGCTATGGATGCAGAGATGGCTTCCTGGAAGTCCACAGGCACCTACGTTGACGCTGTCCCCCCTCCTGGGGCGAACATCGTCAGTGGCATGTGGATCTTCAGGGTGAAGCGGCCGCCGGGTTCTCCGCCTGTCTTCAAGGCGCGTTACGTGGCTCGTGGCTTCAGTCAGCGGCAGGGAGTTGACTACTTTCAGACCTTCTCCCCCACCCCGAAGATGACCACTCTTCGGGTACTGCTGCACGTTGCTGCTCACCGTGACTACGAGCTGCACTCTCTTGACTTCAGCACAGCTTTCTTGCAGGGCAGCCTGCACGAGGAGATCTGGCTGCGTCGCCCACCTGGCTTCACTGGGTCTTTCCCTCCTGGTACCCAGTGGAGTCTCCGGCGTCCAGTCTACGGTCTCCGCCAGGCGCCACGTGAGTGGCACGACACACTGAGGACTACGCTTGCGGCTCTTGGGTTTGCTCCTTCTACTGCCGACCCGTCGCTGTTTCTACGCACCGACACCTCTCTGCCGCCGTTCTACATCCTCGTGTACGTCGACGACTTGGTCTTTGCCACAGCTGACACTGCTGGACTCGCCTACGTGAAGTCCGAGCTGCAGAAGAGACACACGTGCACAGACCTGGGTGAACTGCGCAGCTACCTTGGCTTGCAGATCACCCGGGACAGAGCACGCCGCACCATTACCCTGACTCAGTCACACATGGTGCAGCAGGTCCTTCAGCGCTTCGGCTTCACGTACTCCTCGCCTCAGGCCACTCCTCTGTCTACTCGCCACTCGCTCTCAGCTCTGCCTTCCGATGAGTCCGTAGAGTCGAGTGGCCCGTACCCAGAGCTTGTTGGCTGCCTCATGTACCTGATGACCTGCACACGACCTGACCTTGCATACCCTCTTAGCATTCTTGCACGCTATGTTGCTCCTGGGAGACACAGACCAGAGCACATGGCTGCAGCGAAGAGGGTGTTGCGCTACTTGTGCAGTACGTCGGGCATGGGGCTAGTGCTTGGAGGGCGGAGTCCAGTGGTCCTCACTGGGCACGCGGACGCTTCTTGGGCTGACGACCAGGCTACGCAGCGGTCGTCACAGGGTTACACCTTCAGCCTTGGTTCCGGCTCTGTTTCGTGGCGGGCTACTCGCTCGTCTTCTGTTCTTGGCTCGAGTTGTGAGGCTGAGATCTACGCCGGGGCCATGGCTGCACAGGAGCTTCGCTGGCTCACCTACCTGCTGACCGACCTTGGAGAGCCGCCTCGTTCTCCTCCAGTCCTGTACGTAGACAACAAGGCCATGCTGGCCTTGTGTCGAGAGCAGCGACTGGAGCACAGAACAAAGCACATTGCTCTCCGCTACTTCCTTGCTCGTGAGCTACAGCAACGTGGACAGTTGCGGCTTGCGTACGTGGCCTCTGAGGCCAACACTGCTGATGTCTTCACCAAGGCACTTCCGCCTTGTGATCATCAGCGCTTCTGCACTCAGCTGGGTCTTGTGCCCGTCTTGCCTCACTTGCTCTCCTCTTGACCTTGCTTGTACTCTCACATATATATATATACCTGCTCTTGCTTGTCTAGCTTTATATATATGTGTGTACTCTTGCATGTGAACTGGCCGTGTGGCCTTGACCCTGTGCTCGGACTGTGTGGTGACTTTGTGATCCACCCTGAGCTTGCTTTGCTTTGCTTTGCTTGACTGGTCTTGTGACCCCTTGTTCTCCCCCACTTTGCCTATGGGGGTGTGTCAGAACATTATAGCTTATGCTGTTGTGTAGGCTATAGTGGGGTATCCCATAGGGGGTACAACCAATTAGGGTTTCATATTTGTACTCACTTCATGTCATAGTCCACCCATTCTCTCGTTCTCATTGTTACAGCAGCTTGTAACAAGGATTTTTTCTTACTATGAAGAACGTTTCCACCAATAAGGGTGACTGGTTTGCTTGCGTAGAGATGAGTGCATTTCACATATACTGGATCAAATTTAGCTGTGAGAATGCTGGAATGTGTAAATAATTGTTAAAATATTTCAGGTTTATAAAACATTTATCAGTCATTACAACAATCTTGTAGAAGCTTCTAGCTAATACGAAAATACTATACAGAATTTGATAATATGAATACATTATATTTGTGATTATAAACGACTGGGCCTATATATTGGTTTACCAATTCGAGTGTTCTTTGGTTACTTCCATGGTTACATCCATTTTCTGGACCAATCAAAACGACCCTCGCAAGTCGGGTGTGCGCGAACTGTGTTCAGTTCGCGCTCACCTCTGGCCCCGATCTCTAGGTGACCTCGTAGGTCACATTGTGGGCATGGGTTTACTTTGAACCATAGCCCGAGTAGCACCTCGGGGTAACCTACTAGGAGGTTACCTCGCGGCAAGTTTAGGGTTAGCTCAAGCTAACATTTCGGGCCCACAAATTTTGAGACGGGGATGGGAAGGGGAGAGAGCGGGAACGACGGGATGGGAAGGGGAGAGAGGAGGAACGACGGGATAGGAGGGGAGAGAGGCGAAACGACGGCATAGGAAGGGGAGAGAGGCGGAACGACGGGACGGGAGGGGAGGGAGACGGAACGACGGGATGGGAAGGGGAGAGGGGCGGAACGACGGAATGGGAGGGGAGAGAGACGGAACGATGGGATGGGAAGGGGAGAGAGCGGGAACGACGGGATGGGAAGGGGAGAGAGGAGGAACGACGGGACGGGAAGGGAGAGAGATAGAACGACGGGATGGGAGGATAGTGAGGAGGAATGACGGGATGGATGGGGAGAGAGGAGGAACGGTACGGGACGGGATGAGAATGTGCGAGCGCGAATGGTACGGGAGACGAGGAACGTGAGCGCGATGGCGAGGGGATGGGAGAAGGTGAGAGCGACGGGAAGGGATGGGAGAGAGCGAGATCGACGGGTAGGAATGGGAGAGGGCGAGAGCGACGGGAAGGGATGGGAGAGAGCGAGAGCAGCGGGAAGGGATGGGAGGGCTATTCGAAACGAGCGTGACGGCGCAGAGGTGGGTGATGGCAGGGGCGAGAGGAAGAGCGACGGGAGGGCGACTGGGCGAGAGCGCAACGGCAACGAGGTGGGTCATAGGAAAAGAGAGAGGAAGGACGGCGGTAGGGCTATACTAAACGAGCGGAACGGAAATGGCGTTGGAAGGGCGGTGCGATAGGAGATGAAGTGGGGAAGGAGAAAGGCGACGGGATGAAGAGTGCGAAGGCGATGGGAGGGAGAGTGGACAGGCGACGGGAAAGAAAGTGCGAAGGCCAAGGGAGGGAGGGCGGACAGGCGACGAGGGAGAGCGCGAAGGCGACGGGAGGGAGAGCGGACAGGCGACGGGAGGGGGAAGGGATATCGCGAGGGCGACGGGAAGGAACGAAGGAAAAAGGGGACAACGAAGGCAACGTGAGGGAAGGGAGATAGTGAGGGCGACGGGAAGGAAGAGGGGACATCGAAAGCGAGGGGCGGGAGAACGGGAAGGCGACGGGCTCGGAGGGAACTCGCGAGGGCGAGGGGACAAGAGGGGTGAACGGGAGAATAACCGGGAGGGGAGACCGTGACGACGACGGGAGGGCCGTCGCGTGTGCGTTTGCGAGGGCGACGGAAAGGCGACGGGACGGACTAGAGAGCGAGGCGTCGGCGGACCCCACCAGCAATGGCGAGACGGGAAACGGGCACTGCGCTACCAGGCCACGTAAACCTACATTTCACACTCTCGCTAAGTCGACAATTGACGCACTCGTCGGTAATTACGTGGCTATGACACGATCGCATGTGCTTTCAGCTCTACTACTTACTATGCTATGCGGAAACTAGTGATGAATGGAGTGACAGAAATCTAGTAATGCACCCACCACCAGCTTGAAAATGAGGTTGGGCCTGCGATGGGAAACCATCGCCTGGGGTTTGTCGTGCGGATGCGGCACGCAAAAATGCGACGGCTGAAATGTGAAAAAAAGTTCATTTTGGCGGGAACCATTACGTTCCATTGTGGCGAGGGCCAATGACATGAGTTCACTCTGCCCATAAAAATCGTTTGAAACAGTGTTTTTGAGACTGGTTTCATCCTCACATGCAACTCCTCATTCAAGTTGGGACAGGGGTCACTATTTTGCATGCGGGCTTTAACTTGTAGGAAGCAATTTAAAAACAGTGGCTCATTTATTCTCCAATCCTCTTTAGCCTGCCATGTGCCAAGCAGGGGCTAATTATCTTCGGAGGTTGACGGGTTGTGGATCATCCACTCCATCGGAGAGTTTATATCATCGCCAGAGGGATTTGAGCCCCGACTGTCAACTGACAATCGGCCGTGTCAAAGTGTCATAAGTAGTTTATATCAACCTTTGTTACTGCTGATCCGGTTCGATCTGTCCTTTCTTGCCTGCTATGGCGGCGCCCGAAGATCAGCGAACCGTGATTCTTGTGAGTCGGTTAGGCTAGGCGCGCACCGTGGATGCGACGCGTGCCGTTTGCGACGCCTGTTGCTCTTCTCTTCCACTCTCCGTTGTTCTTCTTTTCTCTGAGCCTTCTTGCCCCTCCTTCCCTCACCGGCTCATAACCCGTCGCTATGGTCGCTATTGCTGCCAATTCTGTTCTACTCCTGTATTAATTTTCTTCCGAGCGCCTCGAGGAGCTTTTTGAGTCCTCTAGACATGACTGCGTCGTTCCCAGGCGATGCAATCTTTCTGGTTACGCGCTGGCCTCTGTAGTATCATAGGTTTCTAGTCACTTCCTGCCTCGTCCACCCACGTTTGCTCTACGGATTGTGAACAATTGAACTCGCTATGCGCGCGTGGGTATACAGTGAAATGCTCACCGAAACCGAATCCTAATTCGCGTGCCATCTCGTTGCGTTACTGATGTGCGCGGGCAATGGCAGGTGAATGTTTTCCTTGACCGAACAGTGAAGCTTCTCAACGCCTTCGCCGCGTCGTGCGAATCTAAACTCCAATCGCTGCACCTGTGAGTCACCTCGCTGCACCTCGCTGCAGCTCTCTGCACCTGTGAGTCGCCTCGATCGCGCTGAGGTTTCTCTTGATGCACCCCGCCCGGCAAGTCGTGATGGGTTGTTGAGCCGCAGTCATGTTTTTTTTTGTTTTTTTTTTTTTTTTACTAGGCGTCATACCATGTTGATCCAGCGTCATAAAATGAATCAAGCGAGCCCATTGACGCTTCTGGTGCTTACTTGTTACTGTTGTTGAGGAACAGTTGAGTTTTACCATTTAAGATGAACTGCACCAGATAACTTGCAGCACTTGTGGCGTATGCATGTGTGCAGCAGCACATGCATGCTTGCTGCGGCACGTGCATGCTTGCTGCGGCACGTGCATGCTTGCTGCGGCACGTGCATGCTTGCTGCGGCAGGCGCATGCTTGCAGCAGCGTCTGCAGAACTAGTCACATGGATATCCAGCACAAGTGTCACCTTCTCCCCTTTAATCCTCACCCTTTCCTGCTTCACCTTCCCCACTCACTCTGTCACCTGGCATGTTTCCTTCCCTTCGTCTTTCGTACCTCGTTTATCCTCATTCCCCTCCCCCTCCCGCTCACTCCACTTCTTTCCCATTCCAATCTTCCCCACCCCTCTTTCTCCCCCACTCCCGCCCACCCTCACCTCCTACTCCCCCACTCCCGCCCACTCTCACCTCCTACTACCCCACTCCATGGTCCCGTCCCTCCCACAAACATCATTGGCGGTCGTTTCTGCCATCCGATTTGCATCCCGCGATCACCTATTGGTTGGTATTTGGAAGCAGCCGGTTGGTGGAAATTGACACACGTGTCACTCTCCTAGAGGCTCAGATCAGAAGCACTGGTCTGCACACAGCCAATGGGAGATCAGCACATGCCAGGGAGGCGCACCAGAGAAACAAGAAGTTAACCTCAGCAGCCATCGAATCTACAGTAACTTCTACGGTGATCTCCGCTGCTACAAACGCAGCTGCTACTAACGAGTCTGTTGCACATGCACCAGCTACAGAGCCGCCAATTACAGGTGCAACTGGAGAAGTTTCTCCTGCAGCCGATTCAGCTTCAGCAGGCGAGAAGCTCACACCTCTACTCGATTCAAATGTCCCCGCTATAATAACACCGAGTTTAGACACACATCGCAGTGGTGAGGGGCAGAATCAGCCAGTTGGTAAGCCTGCCAGCAACGCAATATTGGTGGAACTGGGAGAAGCTGCAGCAGCTGCAGCAACTGAAGCAGAAGCAGCAGCAGCGGTGGTGGATAGACCAGCAGCAACAGCAACAGGAGGAGAAGCACCTGATCAGGAGTAGCTTTAGCAGAGAGATTGTATTGAGGCGCCTCTAAACGAAGCACCTGATTAGGAACTTTAGCAGAGAGACTGTTTTGAGGCGCCTCTAAACGAAGCACCTGATCAGGAGTAACTTTAGCAGGAAGACTGTTGCCATGCCAGAGTACAACTCTACAAACCATCTTATTGTGCGGTAATAGGCGTGCAGGCATAGGCAAAGGTGAGACTGCTGCATATTGGGCTGGAAATGCAGCAGTAATTATCAGCAGAAGCAGCCACAACAGCAGTAACAAGAAAAGGAGCAGCTGATGACACAACACAACACAGCAGCATATGGGAGGGGGACTGTAAATGTACACTCGTAGTCTCGTATGCATTCCCTTCAGCAGGTAAATAGATAGTGCTTCCAATGTTTACTGTATAAGGACCAAAACATGGCCCTAAAAAAATCTCATGTATGCAGTAGCAGTATCGTAATATAGTTGTGCACCACTCTGCTTTTCACTAGCTTAAAAATTGCAAAGAATAAAACAATAGTGGGCAGACGCGTTTGTGGAACTCGTGTGGTCATCCCTCTTACTTAACTGACCAACGCTGCTCTATCTTTGACTTGAAATCACGCGTGAAACACCAGCAAGTATTATTTGTACACCAGGAAGGGCTTGGGATGGCAGAGCGCAGCAGCGAAGGCCCTGCCTGACTCGGTTGGCTGCGAGAATGCGATCTGAGTCGGTGAGAGCGTGCAGGCATAGGCGAAGGAGACGCTGCGGTATAAGAGGATGGTCAGGTAGTGAGGGGAAGAAGGGGGTGTGGGGGAAGGCAGTGAGAAATGGTCAGGCGCAGCTGCGAAGGCCCTGCCTGACTCGGTTGGCTGCGAGAATGCGATCTGAGTTGGTGAGAGCGTGCAGGCATAGGCGAAGGAGATGCTGCGGTGGAATGGGGATGGCAAGACAATGGGATGGGGGGATGGAGAATTGAGACATGACCAGGAAAGGGGGTGCGGGCAAGAAATGAGAGGAATCGATCCTTGAGAGAGCAGGCATAGGGGAAGGCGATGGTGCAGTGGAATGAACACCAAGCAAGAGCGGCCAGGGGCGGGCCGGTTGGGAGGGGAGGGGGAAAAGGGGGGTGGTTGACAAAGGGGAAACAAAGTGGGGAGTTGGTTGGTGAGAGCGTGCAGGCATAGGCGAAGGAGATGCTGTGGTGGGGGGGATGTGATGGCAGGCAGTGGGAGGGGGGAAAGGAGGTGGGGGAGGAGGCAGTGAGAGATGGTGAGGCAAAGTGGCGAGAGCGAGCAGGTATAGCCGAAGGAGATGCAGTGGTGGAACCAGGATGGCGGGGCAGTGAAAGGGGGAAAAGGGGGGAAATGGGGTGGGGGCGGAGGCAGTGAGAGATGGTGAGGCAAGATGGTGAGAGTGAGCTGGCATAGATAAAGTGATCGCCAGGCAAAGGTGGTGGGGAGAGGGGGAAGGAAGGTGGCGAATCAAGCGGGTGCGAGGGGAAAGTGAGAGGAAGAAGACGGGGAGAGCGAGCAGGCATGGGCAAAGGCATGGGGGGATGTGATGAAAAAGGCTTAGGGTTGGGATGTGGTAGGATGAACAAAATATTGTGAATGTGGAATGGCGGGAGTGTGTAAGGAAGTGAAGGGACAGGTGCAATGGAGAGCATGTGAAAGTTGAGAACACATGGGCGAGGTGAGAACACATGGGCGAGGTGAGAACACATGGGCGAGGTGGAAGTGTATGTGCTTTGTCGCATGTGGGGAAGAGACAATGAGTGGGAAGAGAGAAGGGAGAGGCAGAATGTTGTGTGGAATAGGAAGGTGCAGAGAAAAAAGAGACAGAGACATGCACGCGCATGCACCCGCACACACATGCTTACACCTGCATACACACACGTGCTCACAGACACGCACGTGCATGCGCACACACAAACACACAAACACACACACACACACACACATACACACACACAAATACACACACACACACACACACACATACACACACACACACATACACACACAAACACACACACACACACATACACACACACACACACACACACACACACACACACACACACACACACACACACACACACACACACACACACATCCCACCTCACAGCCTTGATCATCTCAGTGGCAACTCCCCTCCGCCGGTGTGCCGGGTGCACCCAAACCGCCCTCACCCCACACACCGCTGCACACAGCTCGTCCTTTTGATCCTCCTCCTCTACAGCCACACCAGTCAGCGGCTCTGCTGGTTGCTCTGCCGCGTCCCGTGGGCCACGCACCCTTGCACTCGGCTGGGTTTCTTTTGCAGGGTGTGAATCAGAAGCGGGGCTGGGAGGAGCAGCAGGAAGAGGACGAAAATTTGGAGCAGAGGGGACGGCAGTCGAAGGGAGCACACTAGCTGTGGCAGGAGGAGAGACAGGAGGAGCAGGAGTAGCAGCGATCGTAGGGGAGGCAAGGCAGGGGTTGGTGGTGCGGAAACCAGCACTGCATGTTCTGGTGTTGCACGAAGATGCATTGTGAGGTGTGGCCGTGCCTGCTTCAGCAACACACGGTTGAGAGCTGTGTGGTTGACTGTTGCATGGCTCGAAGGACTTTTTTTTAGGCGCCTCAAAACTCGCTTCAGCAACACACGGTGTAGGGCTGTATGGTTGGCCAGTGCATGGCTCGAAAGACCCTGATTGACTTGTTGAACGCTCCTCTGCTGCTGCTGCTGTTGCTGCCGCTGCAAATACTGAAGCTGCTTCTGGTGTTGCATCTGAAGCTTTGGATAATATTGTCATGGACTCTGCTGCTGCTTCTCCTTCTGCTTCTGCTGTTGCTGCTGTTGCTGCTTCTGCTGTTGCTGCTGTTGCTGCTTCTGCTGTTGCTGCTGTTGCTGCTTCTGCTGTTGCTGCTGTTGCTGCTTCTGCTGTTGTTGCTGTTGCTGCTGTTTCTGCTGCTCTTGCTGTTGCTGCTGCTGATGCTTCTGCTCTTTCTGATGCCGTTTCTAGTGCATGTTGTGGCATGGACCGTGCCTGTGCTGGCTGCGCATGGGAGATGGGCTCGGCTACAAGGCACCCCACCAGCTGCCTCCCGCGGATGTACAGATATGCCTGTGGCAGGGGGGGGGGATGGGAAAACTTTTGAGTGGACTCAGAAGTCACCTCGGCTCGGTTACAAGAGCACAGGCAATGTGATCATGATGGGTGCGCATGGGAGATGGGCTCTGCCACAAGGCACCCCACCAGCTGCCTCCCACGCACGCACAAATATGCCTGTGGGGGAGAGAGGATGGGGAAACTTTTGAGTGGACTCAGAAGTCACCTCGTTACAAGAGAAAAGGAAATGTAATTATGATGTGTGCGTCATCCCGCCTGGGAATCTGGCTTTGCTGCAACACGGCATCCCACCAGCTGCCTCCCACGGACGTACAGATATGCCTGTGGGGGAGAGAGAGCGACGAGGGATGGGGGAGTCTGCGGGGAGTGCGTGTGAGTCGACTCAAACGACTCCTCATTAACAATAGCACATGGAATGTGCATGACCCGGCTGGGCATGGGAGGCACCCCACCAGCTGCCTCCCACGGACGTACAAACACGCCTGTTGGGGAGAGAGGGATGAGGGATGGGGAGAGTGTGTGGGGAGAGAGGGACGAGGGAGGGTGTGTGGGAGAGTGGAGGAGGGATGGGGAGAGTGTGTGGGGCGGAGTGTAGAAGTGGGGAGGGAGGGTTTGAAGGCAGGTTTAACACCACCCAGCAGAGCAGCCAGATGGGTGTGACTCTCATGCCCCTCTCCAGCACTCCCACCTGAAGCTTGGTGCCGTCTCGTTCAAGAGTGCACAGCAAGAAAACACCCCTCCCCTCCCCTCCCCTCCCCTCCCCTCCCTTAACACACCCGCTGATGCTCACCTTCCATTGGCCGCCCAGCAGCCACGTGGGGCTCACACCCATTGCCCTCTCCAGCACTCCCACCTGAAGCCAGGCGCCGCCTCGTTCAAAAGAGAACAGCTTGAAAAAATCCTCATCCCACTCCTCTGTCCCTCACCTGCACTTGCCCCTCCACCAATCCAAACTTACCCCTCATCCAAGACAGCAAGCATGAATTTTCCAGGGTGTTTCAGGGAATTCTCCGGATTAACCCCCAACCCCACCCTCCTGCTGCTCACCTTCCATTGGCCGCCCAGCAGCCACGTGGGGCTCACACCCATTGCCCTCTCCAACACCGCTGCTATTTCTTGCATCTGCGTGGGAAAAGGGATATGGACCAAGAGGGGAGAGGGTTCAAAGAGGCAGGAGGAGGAGGAGAAGCAGAGAGACGTGAGAGGGCAGGGCGCAATGGAAACCTGCCAGAGAATTAGGTGGTTTGCAGAAATGTGAAGGGAGGGAACAGGGACAGGAGGGGTGAGAGTGAAGGGGGAAATGAGTGGATAGTCTAGGAGGAGGGAAGGAGGTGGTTAGAATTGGAAGACTCATGAAGGCAAGTGAGTGGTTCTAACCTCCTTTTCTCCCTCTTGCAAGTGAGTGGTTCTAACCTCCTTTTCTCCCTCTTGCAAGTGAGTGGTACTAACCTCCTTTTCTCACTCTTGCAAGTGAGTGGTTCTAACCTCCTTTTCTCACTCTTGCAAGTGAGTGGTACTAAACTCCTTTTCTCACTCTTGCAAGTGAGTGGTACTAACCTCCTTTTCTCACTCTTGCAAGTGAGTGGTTCTAACCTCCTTTTCTCACTCTTGCAAGTGAGTGGTACTAACCTCCTTTTCTCACTCTTGCAAGTGAGTGGTTCTAACCTCCTTTTCTCACTCTTGCAAGTGAGTGGTACTAAACTCCTTTTCTCACTCTTGCAAGTGAGTGGTACTAACCTCCTTTTCTCACTCTTGCAAGTGAGTGGTTCTAACCTCCTTTTCTCACTCTTGCAAGTGAGTGGTACTAAACTCCTTTTCTCCCTCTTGCAAGTGAGTGGTTCTAACCTCCTTTTCTCACTCTTGCAAGTTAGTGGTTCTAACCTCCTTTTCTCACTCTTGCAAGTGAGTGGTACTAACCTCCTTTTCTCACTCTTGCAAGTGAGTGGTTCTAACCTCCTTTTCTCACTCTTGCAAGTGAGTGGTTCTAACCTCCTTTTCTCACTCTTGCAAGTGAGTGGTTCTAACCTCCTTTTCTCACTCTTGCAAGTGAGTGGTACTAACCTCCTTTTCTCACTCTTGCAAGTTAGTGGTTCTAACCTCCTTTTCTCACTCTTGCAAGTGAGTGGTTCTAACCTCCTTTTCTCACTCTTGCAAGTGAGTGGTTCTAACCTCCTTTTCTCACTCTTGCAAGTGAGTGGTTCTAACCTCCTTTTCTCACTCTTGCAAGTGAGTGGTTCTAACCTCCTTTTCTCACTCTTGCAAGTGAGTGGTTCTAACATCCTTTTCTCACTCTTGCAAGTGAGTGGTTCTAACCTCCTTTTCTCACTCTTGCAAGTGAGTGGTACTAACCTCCTTTTCTCACTCTTGCAAGTTAGTGGTTCTAACCTCCTTTTCTCACTCTTGCAAGTGAGTGGTTCTAACCTCCTTTTCTCACTCTTGCAAGTGAGTGGTTCTAACCTCCTTTTCTCCTCTTCCTTCACGCAGGCAAGCGGTGGGTGACACGAAACGAGGGTGACCTGCTGGCCGTGGTTCCAGGCACGCTTGTGCTGCTCACCACGTGCACCTCAACGCACCGCAGTGCACCGTTGTCAAGCGCACACGCATCAACGCACCTTTGCCAGCTGCACTGCGGTGCACTCTGCATGGGTGATGAGCACGATCCGCCCTGCCGCAACCCCTTCACACCCTGCACTCCCCGCGGTCCCTGCTACTGTCTGCACCACCCTCTCATTCCTCCATCCCTGCACAGAAGCGCAATGTCAACAAAGGGACAAGGAGAGGAAAAAGCAGGTTTCATTCCTGGGAGCTGGGCACGAAGCGCAGTAATTCTCTTTGCACTCACTTGCTTAAATCCCAGGAAGTACACCCCACCTCCTCCCAGGAAGTACACCCCACCTCCTCCCAGGAAGTACACCCCACCTCCTCCCAGGAAGTACACCCCACCTCCTCCCAGGAAGTACACCCCACCTCCTCCCAGGAAGTACACCCCACCTCCTCCCAGGAAGTACACCCCACCTCCTCCCAGGAAGTACACCCCACCTCCTCCCAGGAAGTACACCCCACCTCCTCCCAGGAAGTACACCCCACCTCCTCCCAGGAAGTACACCCCACCTCCTCCCAGGAAGTACACCCCACCTCCTCCCCTCACACCTGCGTGGCACTTCTGCCGGGCACGACATGTGAGAGGGGAGCTTGGCAGGGATCGATCGATTTGATTTCCCTCTGGCAAGCTCCCCTCTCAGATTGGGAGGCGCACTGTTGAGAATTCTCAAAAGTGATTGGGAGGCGCACTGCTACCTCCCAATCTCCGCTCCTCCAGCCTGCAACAACAACAACACACACACCTGCACTGTACGTCCTTGCAGCAAAACTCTGCTTCAAAACCAGTCAGATCATACCTCAGGCAAGTACCCCCCCCTCCCTCTCTCTCATCTGGACAGTCACAGCACGGCAGGACAGCCTGTGATGCGCCTCACGCGATGCCTCATCCGACTTTTGAGACGTCTCATAAGTCGCCTCATGGGCTGCCTCATCCGCCTTGAGCCCTCTGACGAACACCAACCCGCACACCCGGACATCACCTCCCAACTCCTCACCTCACCTGAACAGTCACACTTCCACAGAACAGTTGTGATGTGCGTCGTGCGCTGCCTCATCCGCCTTGAGCCCTCTGACGAACACCAACCCGCACACCCGGACATCACCTCCCAACTCCTCACCTCACCTGAACAGTCACACTTCCACAGAACAGCTTGTGATGTGCGTCGTGCACTACCTCATCCGCCTTGAGCCCTCTGACGAACACGAACCCGCACACCCATACCCCACCGCCTCCCCTCTCACCTGGATGGTGACAGTTCCGCAGAACAGTCTGTGATGCGCGTCGTGTGCTGCTTCATCCCCTTTAAGCCCCTTGGCGAACACGAATCCGCACACACGGCACGTGGTGTGCAGCAGGTCCCTGGTCTAGGCGATCCTACAGCACCCCTCCTCTCACCTGGATGGTGACAGTGCCACAGAACAGCCTGTGATGCGCCTCATGTGCTGCCTCATCCGCCTTGAGACCCTTGGCGAACACGAATCCGCACACACGGCACGTGGTGTGAAGCAGGTCCCTGGTCTAGGCGATCCTACAGCACCCCTCCTCTCACCTGGATGGTTACAGTGCCACAGAACAGCTTGCGATGCGCCTCATGCGCCATCTCGTCCGCCTTGAGCCCCTTGGCAAACACGAATCCGCACACACGGCACGTGGTGTGCAGCAGGTCCTTCTGCCCAAAGTCCAAACACGCCTGCACCTGCCTCCTAAGTCCACTACAGCACCCCTCTCACCTGAATTATTACAGTGCCGCAGAACAATCTGTGGTGTGCATCGTGTGCCATCTCGTCCGCCTTGAGACCTTTAGCGAACACGAATCCGCACACACGGCACGTGGTGTGAAGCAGGTCCCTGGTCTAGGCGATCCTACAGCACCCCTCCTCTCACCTGGATGGTTACAGTGCCACAGAACAGCTTGTGATGCGCCTCATGCGCCATCTCGTCCGCTTTAAGCCCCTTGGCAAACACGAATCCGCACACACGGCACGTGGTGTGCAGCAGGTCCTTCTGCCCAAAGTCCAAACACGCCTGCACCTGCCTCCTAAGTCCACTACAGCACCCCTCTCACCTGAATTATTACAGTGCCGCAGAACAATCTGTGGTGTGCATCGTGTGCCATCTCGTCCGCCTTGAGACCTTTAGCAAACACGAATCCGCACACACGGCACGTGGTGTGGAGCAGGTCCTTCTGCCCAAAGTCCAAACACGCCTGCACCTGCTTCCGCTGCCGCTGCTGCTGCTGCTGCTGTTTCTGCTGCGGCCGCTGCTGCAGCTGCTCCGGCCGCTCCGAACCCAGCTGTTCCAGCAGAGTATGGGCCTCTCTCGGACTTGTCGGAAGCTCCTCCTGCAATCGCAGCGAGTGCGTCTGCTCTCGCCCCTCGTGCACACCCTCCTGCCGCTCATCCTCAGCACGCCTCTCGATATTCTGCTCCAACTGCCCTGCCTGCTCTCGACCCTGCTCCAGCCCCTCCTGCCGTGCTTGCTCTTGCTCTCGCCCCTGCTGCCCCAGCCTCTGCTGCTCCACCCGCTGCTGCGCCAGCCCCTGCTGCTCCACCCGCTGCTGCGCCAGCCCCTGCTGCTCCACCCGCTGCTGCGCCAGCCCCTGCTGCTCCTCAATGCTTCTGTGCTCGTCTTCCCCTGTGTTCGCCTCTGCCTTGCGCTTCAGCTTCGATTTCCTCAGCCGTTGGGTCTCGTACTCATCGTCCTCTCGAGGCACATCTGACGGACACGATGCTCCGCCTGACCTCTCCTTGCCGGAGCCATTCCCCTGCCTTAACCAGAAGGCCAATGTGGAGGTGCCACGTGGACGTTCTTCTGACGCTGATAACGCAGGAGCCGACACGACTTTGATATCCGCGATAGAAGCTGTTCTCGTAGGCAGCCTCAAGGTACATCCACTTGGAATGGTTGCTGCGGCTGCTGATGCAACCGCCATTTTGGTTGTGAAAACGTTGCACGCTTCAGGAGAAAAGTCAGGTGAATCGCCAAAAGAGCGGCCTGGTGTGGAGCTGCCTAGCACATGCCGGAGCGCATCCCTGCTTCTGAAAGCCAATCGTCATAAAGGTGAGAAACGGTCTGATCATGTTTGACACGGTACAAGCAGGTTCTGGTCATTCAAGACCCAGGAAATTTTGCGGCTGTAAAGGGAGTTGACATGAAACAATATGCGGATGAATGAGATAAAAGAATCAGGAAACGACGGCCCGTGTATTCCTTCCGCTCTTGCCGTGAACCGTCAACCATCCGCCAAATAACATATTCCATCCGCCTTCTCACACGCCATTTCTTTCACTCTTGCCGTCAACTATCACTCACCCGCCGTCAACCTTCACTCACCCGCCGTCAACCTTCACTCACCCGCCATCAACCTTCACTCACCCGCCGACAGCCATCACTCACCCGCCGTCAGCCATCACTCGACGGATTCTCCTATACGTCACAAGGCGGTCCGTCACGCCAATCGGCTCCTCGCACGTGGCCGACGGCGGCGCGTTGCAGCGGCGATCATCCGAGTCCGAACTCATCAACTCGCGACCCGGCGAGTCGCATGCGCTCCCAGCTCTACACGATTCGCTCCCAAGGTCACACGAGGGGGACTTCGCAGGTATCGGACGCATCGGAGCACCGGAGGATCGGAGTGACTTCTGAGTCAACTCTAACGATTTCTCACGCACCAACTCCGAGTCCGGCGCATCAACGCATCGCCTCAACGCGGCCGTGCACTCAGCCGCTTGAAGAGGAGACGATCTGGGATCTCGGCTACTAGGAAAGGGACCGTCTTTATGACTGGAATAAGGATTCTCGGAGGTTTTAAGCAGTTGGAACTGGCATGTTGGAGCGCCGTGGCACTGAGCCGGGCTTGCACGCGCGGGGTCAGCGGTCGACGGCTTGAGTCGCTTCACCCACGAGTCGAGAGTCCCACGCCGCTCGACCCTCTTTTTCGCCCCAGCTTCCCGCTGCTTCTGCTTCGATGATTCTTTCGGCAATCCTAGGCTCGACGAAACCAGGCTTGACTTCTTGAGGCTCGGCGATTCGAGGTTCGGCGAGCCGAGGCTCGAGTCGACGGCAAAACGCCTCCTCGCTCCCCCATTATTCCCTCCGTCCGAGCCTGACATTGAGGATGCGTTGCGGATCTCCGCGGGGGGGTTTTGAGGCGCCTCAAACGACGCTGATTATGCTTTCAGCTTCTCCGCACGGGCCTCGGAATTGTCCGTGTTTCTGCCGTCTAATCGACGGCACAGAACAAACGACATCACGTTCGCATTAAGACGGATGATTGCGGGCTGGAAACCGAATAGAAATGCAAAGCTCTTTGATACGTGTATCTGTCAAACGCTTCTGATCTGTTCATTGAGAGGACGTGTACAGGCTTGGCTGAGCTACGTGCTCGTGGCGTCGAGGAAAGCTAATACTAGCAGCAATGGGAGCTCGATTCGTAGAAGCAGGAAACCAGGCGGAATCGAACAACGGAAACGTTGTGGAACTCACTAAGGGCGGATCCACAACGTCACTCCAAGGTGAGCCTTGGGATTGCCCAGCATTCACACTACAGAACGTGAGACATTCGAACTGATGTTTCGTCAAAATGGTACGAAAGCCATCAGCTTGGGGTCACAGAGAACATGGCGAGCTCCATCGGAGTAAATCATTTTTGCCTATGCTCGTTCGACACTTCGTAACAACTTCGACCACTCGTGGTAGGAGCATTTGTTCTCCGGAGCTTTCCTGTGACCGAACTTCACATTCGGGAACCCTCCCTGAGAATGTTCGTAGTAACGTCAACATGCGACACGGTTTCAAAATTCCGAATAAACCTCGTTAGTGAAACCTCGTTTCAAAATTCCGAATAAGTATGACAAAGGAACAGTGGCACCTCAGTTCAGGGACAGGGGCTACAACAGTGAGATTATGGTGTTTTTGGCCTTAGGAATGGAAAACCAGGTGGTAGCAAAATCAACCAGGCAGTCACAAGACATCGATAGGTTGTAATTCAGTGAGGCCAAGCAGTTTGAGTGCGGCTAATACTTGAGAGGGTGTAAGTCAATGAGCCAAAGAAGTGAGGGCGTAATTCGATATACCAAACACTAGGCTGATCAAAGAGAAGAGGGCGGAAGGCGGGGAGGGGTAGGGATTGAAATAAGAAATCTCTGGAACCACGGTTTAGTATACATCTATGAAAAAATGTAAACAAAGCTTAGAAACGAACCTACCATAAGATGGAAGTCTGATCTAAGTCAGGAAGGAAGTATGTCAGGGAAGAGAAAGCTGTGCTCAGCTCAAGATGCACCACATGCAGCTGTTGGATAAGAAGAGCCCTTGCTTCATAATGCAGGATACATCCAGAGAAACTTATTTCAGGAGTAACAGCAGTGCAGCAACACTTATTCTTATAGGGACTTCAGTACGAGATGGAACTTCCACTTCATCACACGTAAACATCCCCCTACTGGTACCTCCTCTGCGTCACACACCTGTTCTTCTGCCTGTCCCAGTTACTCTGGATCAGAAATCTCATGCTCTTCATCCCAACGAGATTGTACTCGTACGTTCTGCCTCGGCTGTCCTGACCCTTTTTCGTCTTACCAAAATCTGAAGAGCACTTGTCCGCATTCTCTGCATCTGTGTCGTCCATCCATCCCGTCACACAATCCGGGTCCGTTGCTGCTTCCGCGATTTCGTGAGCGATGCTGGAAAGCATGAAATCGATGGCAGGGTTACCGTTCGGCGACGGATTTCTCTGCCATTCTGCTGGGCACTGCCCGGGATGTCCCACGAACGACAGTACAACCGGTTTTGACTCGAAGGAGTTCATGCTGTGCCATCCTAGAGATTCGGTACAGAAACCCGGGACGGTGACATCCTTGCTGGTAAGAAGCAGGTAGATGCCATTCGCGTCGTACGGAAACGGCTGCCCAGCTCCCATCTTGCTGGAAATAACTGCGACAGAAGATGTGATTTCTATGGTTTAGACAATGACAGAGCGATCATGCGCCAAACTTTTTCGTACTCTGACTCTCGTGCAGTGGCGCATAGATTATGCAGTGACTTTATTTATGCTAAGCGGGGAGACATGGAATGCTGGAAGAGGCAAAATGGTTTCAGTCGTGATGCGTACCTTCCATAACCGTGTCTTGGCCAAAATCCGTTCCCGCCGAGTAGTCGTCATAGACAGTTTTGGCGAGGCGCACCTGGAATGACATGGAACCAGGAAGGAATTGCATAATGCTGGAAACGAGCTGATCGCCGATGCGCTATTAAGCAGCTTGACATGATCCCGTCACCCATGATTCGATCACGCATGCCTTATATATTCGATCGCATGTTACGATCACGCATGTACCGATCACTCAATCACGCCCTACTCACTCGTTTCATCCCTCCTCCCTTCGAGCCACTTGTTAGAACCTGCGGTACAACCCCATCGTTCACCAAGACGGTCACTGGCATGAAAAGTCGCACCTTCTTGCTGACGTTCCTCTTCGCGCCATTACCCCCTTCCTGCGTGTACGCCGCGCTGATCGCCCACCAGCGCTTCACCTTGGGATCCGCGGGACCCCCCTGCTGCTTCGAGTCGGCACCCAACGATCGAATAAAGTTCTCAATTATTTTCTGCCCCGAACCCGCCGGCCAGCTGCCGTAGTAAATAATGTACACGTTGATGGACGGGTTCCCAGTCATCACGGGTCCGCCTCGGTATTTGATCGGAGGGTTTGAGGGGTCAGCGCCCGTTTCGCTCTCGCGCTTTTCGCTCTCAGCGAAATGTATTTTGGAATTGAACGTGTGCAGAGGCGGGCGCGAGCCCTGGTCAACGGTGTCGGTCAGCTGGCGCTGACGGCGGAATTCTTCGTGCGCCAAGGGCGTGCGCGCGATGCGCATAGGCGCACCGGCGGATGCGAGGGGGAGCGGCGAGATGCAGACGAGGGAGAGGACTACGAGCAGCAGGGAGAAGGTGCCAGGGGGTTTCGCCATTGCGAGTGGCTGGGGGAGAACGTGAGGTTCTTCAAATCGAGAAAGTAACGGGGAAAATTCTAGCGCAGATATGCGCCAGACTCACGAGGCTAATCTTGCTTTTTGCGTCGCTTGATTCAGCTGTCAGATGTCATTCGAATCGCTCTTGGGATCAACCGGGATGATTTTATAAATACTGCTAGCTGCGGATGTGGAATGATAAGAAACGGGATCCAAAGCAGGTGAACTGGATGGGTTGAGTCGTGCGACTGAATGAGGTGGGAATGTTGGTTGTAAGAAAGCGCGGACGGGTATGTCACCTCTGAGCACGGCTGTTCTACCGTTTTCTTCATGATTTTCGGCAGGGAAGCCGAGCAAGCATTTCTCCCGGCTGGAATGCACATGTCCAATAATTTCGCGGCTCGATTTCGTGGAAGGTGTTCGGTATGGATGACTGCAGGTCTAGAAACCAGGTTTCCAATAACTGTATATATTTGAAACAGACCGCTCTATATCATTCAGAGCCTTTTTCAAGTGCATTCAAACTTACTTACGCGACCCGCCCCGAACCCCACTCAAAAATTGTGGGTTCGTCAGCTATACTGAGTACAGAGGCGAGTATACTATGCAATAGAACGTGCTATAAATAGTACAAGTACAAAAGCGTAGCTCATATTTTGTATGTGCGAACCAATGTACATGGTTCCATCAGATAGCAGAAATTTGAATGTAAGTGAATTACGGATATACATTTGAAAATATAATCCCATGGTCTAATCTTGTCGTTATCCCTTTATTTCTCCCTTCCAAGGACACGCCTTATTGCGTGCAACTTATGTTGGCTGCCCTGTTTCAGAGGCTTGGCCTGTCCTGGATATGACTTGGCTTGGCTTGGCTTGGCATGGCCTCCCCCCGCCATGAGACAAAGCAGTGAGGGTGTGAGAGTCAATGAGGCAAAGCAGTAAGGGTGTGAGAGTCAATGAGGCA